TTGATTGTTGTCTGTTGACTGGGATATGTGCAGGACAGATTGGGAGCTGGAGTCCCGAGGAAGGCTAAGCTGGGACTGGAAGAGCTGCAGCTGGTGGGCCCAGGGGTCTCCTTACACTCCCTAGCCCCAGTCTACCCTACCCCATGCCGCTGGGTAACCTCAGGTCTGAGGAGGAAAGAGCTGGAGGTGGAGAAACAAGGCTGCAGGTCTGCCCTCTGGGGTGAGGGTGGGGAGTCCCTCTGGGTAAGGCCTTAGAAGGAAACGATTATTTTTCCGGGGGGGGGCGTGGGGGAGGTAGGGGGGCTCAAAACAACTCGGGGGTGGGGTAGGGGCAGGAAGCCGGTTCCACCATTCCATCCGGTCCAGTGTGCCTCTGAGACCCCAGCGGGCAGAGATGCATCTCGGGGTGCGCAGCCGCAACGGGCTCTCTCCGTGGACCTTCACCCTCCCCAAGCTACCGAGGTGGGGCAGCTCAGGATCAGGGTGGGGCCAGTCCCCGCCTGCTCAGCTTCCTCATATTGGCTCCTGGCAATGCCCAAATCGGCCCCGCAACCCTCGGGCACCGCTGTTCCCCACCTGCCTCAAGGCATCAGCCCCTGGACTGAGCGGGGTGGGCGTCCAGCCGGGTCCCTGCATCTCAGAGGCGGGCCGTCCCGAACCCGAGCCGCCCACCAACTTTCGGGATGCGCAGCCCGGGGCTTCTGCCTCCGTGAGTCCAGCCGCGTGCCCCTGCATGTGCCCCAGGTCGCGCGCCATCCTCACCCGCTTCCTGGGCCGTCCCCTGCACTTGCTGCTTCAAGTCCTGCAAGCCCTTGCTGGCCATGGCTGCGGGGGGTCTGCGAAGTCGTCTAGGGTAGCCGCAGCGATGTTAGATCCCGTTCACCTTGCGGCGACCGGAGCGCCAGCTCTGGTTTTTAAGGCGCCCCAGGGCCGGCCCGCCCCGCGCGGGGCGGGGAAGAGGGGGGCGCGGGGCGTTTCCCAGCAGACCGGCTCCGGGGACTGACCCGGCCCTGCTCCAGGTTCCACCATCCGGAGAGCACATCTCGGCCTCCGGCGGGCGGCGGTCAAAACGCGGCGGTCCCCACCAGGGTCTGACGAGGGGCGAGGGGCTGCAGAGGGCTTGGGTCGGGGTCCAGAGACGGGCTGGAGTAGAAGGGGGGCGCACAAACCTCCTCCCTCCCCCGTCGGTCCGACCCTTCGTCCGTGAGCCTGAAGATCCGGTGGGTGCTGGGTCAGCGCCAGGTCAGAATCTCAAGGCTGGAATTGACATTAATAATAGCAGCGGCCTTTTTCTGAGCATTTACCTAGCGCCAGGCGCTGCCCTAAGGCTTTACAGCCTATTGTATAATCTTTACAACAGCTTCGTGAAATGGGTGTTATTAGCAGTTTATAGGAAGAAACTATGGCACAGAGGGCGCGTTAAGTCTCACCCAAACTCACATGGCAGGCAGGGACTCGAATCCAGGTCGGTGGGCTGTAAACCCAAAGGCCCCGACAACGGCCGAGGCGGCTGTCCCCACACACTCGGCCGGGACACTGCAGACTGGCCAGCTGCCCTGATGCTACTGGGACCAGGCAGGGGCAGAGGAGAGAGTCGAGTAAATCCCTCTCACAGAGGGCGAGTCACTGGCAAGCGCCTCTGGGGAGAAAGCAGCCCGAAGTGGAGGGGGACAACCGAAAGGGCCTCTGTGTGCGCCCAGCCCAGGCAGGGAGAGCGCTACCTTAGGTCACCAAACCCCTACGAATTGGGCAGGAGGCAAGGTTCAGAGAGGGCAGGGACGCTCCCCAGGCCACACAGCGAAGAAGGGAGTGGCCGAGCCTCAGACCACTGAGGTCACCTTTCCCCGGATGGGGCGCGCGCTGGAGGTGGTGACCACCCAGGGGCGCTGGGAGAGGAGTTAGAGGCCCAGGCACCAGTCGGGGAGCCAGGAATCCCGAGGACAGCAAAATGACCCAAGAGGCATGACCCCCTGGCACCCAAGTGTGCTCACCGGGCCTCCACCCCGCCCCGCGTTCTTCCATTCCAGAGCCAGCCTGCGGAGCCTGGAGGCCACCGCCCCACTCCCTTGTGCATCTTGGTGCGGCGGCTCGACCCTCTCTCTAATGCTTACTCTCTGATTCTTACCCCCGGGGCAAGTCTCTGCGCCTCTGTGGGAGTCTTCCCGATTCTGGAGCCCTGGGAAGACCCCGCCTACCCAGGTCCGCTCTGCTGGCCCATGCCCTGCGTCTAATACGGGGGAGGAGGCGGGGGAGCAGAGGCTGGGGGTATAAACCGCGGAGCGTCAGCCATGGCCTGGGGTTAGCTGGAAGCGCGCGCGCACGCACGCACAGTGAGAATGGATTAATGGAGATAACTCTGGGCAAGTAAACGGGACAGAAGCTGAGATCAGATGGGGGAGGGGACACTAAGCACCGAGGAACCAAGCGGCCGCCACGCCCTCTCCTCCTGGCCTGAAGCCCGGCCAAGCCCAGAGCACAAAGGCGCAGTTGAAGCCGCCTTCTTGCTGCCTCGGGGACTCCAGGGAGCCCAGCCTTGCCCACATCCTCTTGAATTCCCACCAGTAGCACCAGTCTCTTCGGCCAGGAGGGTCTGATCACCACAGCAGTTAGCTCATGGTTGGCTGTTAAGGCTATTTGCTGCCTGTCCCAGTGGGCCAGAAGACAGGGAGGCAGCAGGCTCTGTGTGAGGCACAGTGGGGCCCAAAGCAGGTGATGACAGAGAGAGCTAAGTGGCTCTAAAGCAGGAGGCACTGCAGTCAGACCTCTTGGGTTCAAATACTCCCCAGGGCAAGTCCATCTCTCTGAGCCCCCATGTCCCCATCCTTGATGGGCAGATGGGGGCGACAGAATCTCCAAGTGCTATTGTGAGGGTTAAATGGGCTGAAGGATGCCCCACACTCAGTGGGGTCCCTTCAACAGGGGGCCATTCACCTGGGGCTTCCCAGGTGAGGAGAGGGACAGGGAGAGACCAATTGTTCCTCTAGGGAAGGTAGCCCCAGGAGCCCAGAGCACATGATAGAGGGTCTATTTTTTTTTTTTTTTTTTTTTAATGTAGGCTCCATGCCCATCAAAGAGCTCAACACAGGGCTTGAACTCACAACCCTGAGATCAAGACCTTAGCTGAGATCAAGAGCTGGCCACCTAGCCTAACCGACTGAGCCACCCAGGTGCCCCAGTAGGGGTTTTGAAGGCTAAGAGCAGTGCAGGTGCCATGGGGTGGGAACAGGCTTCCCAGACAGGGCAAACCTAGATGTTTGGCATTTGACCCCAAGAACAGGCTCTGAGTATGTGCCTAGGGTAGGAGTCAAGCAGCAGGGACCCTTCCAGGTTCCTTCAGCAGAGGCAGAGGGCTCTGGGAGTCTGGTGATGCACTGTCCACAGGGGCTGGGTCTAGGAGTCCTCCTCCCTCGTCACCTGTCTGTCTCTCACAGTCCAAAGAGCTCTCAGGCACACCCAGGCCCCAGGTGGACCCCTCCTGGGCATGCACAGGCCTGCTTGTGTGCCCGCATTTGGGCCCAGGAGCATTAACACCCCTGACTACCCTGAACCTCTTCCAGACCTTTCACTCCTCCTGTGGCAGGATTTGGGGGCCTGGGGGACCAGCAGCCTCCTGTTCCTTTCTGCCTCCTCGGCAGTGGATGCCCATGGGCAGCAGGCTGGAATACAACCCGGCTCAGCTGTGCTTGACTGGGTTCCCAGCCCCCAGGGCTGGCCTTGACCCCTGCTCCCACCACTGAGGCGGGATGGGAAAGTGGTGGTCTCGGCAGTGTCTGAATTCAGGGGCGGACGCAAGCTCTGGCTCTGACTCCCAGGGCTGGAAGCTTGGGGCAAGTCACGTAGATGCTCTGAGCCCAAACTGGCTGGCTGCCAAAGGGGAAGGAACCCCTCCAGCACTTCTGAACAAGACCCCAGGGCATGATGCCAACAGCCTTCATGTAGGACATCTGCCAGCCTGGTCCCCAGGTTATTTTGAAATCCCGGGGCGGTGGGGTGGCTTCTGCCGTAAGCACCTGAGTCCACACAGTCGGCGGGGCTGTAGCAGAGCATGGGAGTTAACTGGGTGGCTCTGGAGCCAGGCGACCTTGGCTTCTGCCTAGTCCCCGAGGTTCCTTGCTCTGTGCCCTTGGGCAAGTTATTTAACCTCTCTGTTCTTCAGTTCAGTTTCGGGGAAACTGGGATCATACCAACAGTTTGTTCTGAGGATTAAATTACACAAAGCGCTCAGGCCTGGGAGGAGCTCGTTTTTACTACTTTCAAGGTGGAGGCTCACTTTCTCGCATCTCAGCTGTCCTCTTTTCTAATGACACTTGACAGGACTTCTGGTGAAGGACAGGAAAGCCCAGCTCCCAGCTGGTGGGAACTTGAAGCCAGGTGGGGTCAGGCAGGAGGAGCTATGGGGTCATGTCCTTCTGCACTGAGGAGGACTCAAAGAGGTCTTGGGTCTAGACGTCACATCTTGGAAGGTTACCATCTGTTCCAGGGAGGGGTGTGAGGTTGTCTGGAGGAGCCAAAAGCCGGGCAGCTTTCTTCATGTTAAAAGACAACGGTGTGGGCTCCCTGAAGGCAGTGCCTACTCTCAGAAGGTTCCCGAAATGCCTAGGGTCTGCCCGAAGGGTACCTGGCCCTGGACCTGCTTCCCAGACCCACCAGCAGGCTGGCCGGGTTCCTGTTCCTGGATGAGGCAGCACAGAGCAGAAGCATGGGTACGTATGGCCAGGGGTGAGGACTTGAGTTTTATCTGGAATCTTTAAGAACAAAATTTCACCTCAGCATCTGTGGGGTCAGAAGGACCGGGGGCGGAGGCCTCAAGGGAGGGAGTGAGGGAGGTGAAGGCGTCAGAGGCAGCTTAGGAGGGCAGGCCTGTGGGTGGCCGGGTGTGGGCATGGGAACATGGGCAACCCAGGTTGCGCTCCAGGGCTGGGCACTCTGCGTGCCAGGCGGGGGTGGGGTCCGAGGCAGAGGGCTCTTCCTCGAAGGCTCCATGGCCAACTGGCATCCCTCTAGTCTCCTCCACTCTTGGCCTGGGAGAGAGAGAGAGTGACTTTCACACACATCTCCAGGCCCCAACCCTCAGCAGCCAGCCCGAGGGTGGTGGGGCCGGGAGTTGTCTCTGCCCCTCCACCCTGAGGGAGTCATTCATGAGGGGACCTCACACTCAGGCTGAGGGGGCTGCAGAAGGTCAAGAGGCGGCCCTGAGGGCTCTGGGTCCCTGGGAGGGAAGCAGTCTTGCCCAGTGGAATCCGGGAGCCCAGCACTTACCTCCTCAGCCACTTTCTCTTCTGCTCTGGCTGCCTTGTCCTCCTTGTCCTCCTGCAGGGGGGCAGGCTCCAGGTCCTCCTGTGAGGGAACAAAGGGGGCCAAAGGGAGTGTGGGACCATGTGGAGCGTGCAGAGGCTCCCACGGCTCTGCAACCAGGGCCCACCCACCTGGCCTCAAAGATGAGCAGAGGCCCTCATCACCTCGCTGCATGTAGAAGGCAGGAGGTGAAGGAAGTATGAGGACCAGTCTGACCACGGGAGTGACAGAGCCTCATGGAAGGGCCCACAGTGGGGGCTCTGTCCGATGATGCCAAGGCCTTCTGGGGGCACCAAGTATTCTGGAGCCCCGCTTTACACCCCCTAAGCTAATGCGGAGTCTCTGGGCAGTCTGTAGTTGGGCCGCTGCATCAAGGAGGACTGGTGAGGTGGGGTGCAGTGGGGTGGGGGAGGGCCGTGGCCCTGAAGCCTGAGACCTGACCCCACCCTCAGTGCCCCCGAATCACATGACCATGCACCCCTGTCCGGCTTAGCTCCCAAATAACCCTAGGTGGAGGGGTATGCCATCACTGTTTGTACAGCGATCCTGAGGCCAGGGAGGCCAAGTATCCAGCTCAAGGCCTCAGAGCTCAAAGCAATGGAGCTGGTAAGGATCAGGTTCGGCTTGCTCCAGGTCCATCCCTATCCCTAGTAGCATCTTTCTCTCTCCCTGCCTCCTGGATGGGCTCTGGGCTCAAGCTGGTCTGGTTGAGGTCAGTAGGGGTTATACAATCCTCCCCACTACCTGTCTCCTACTCCCTTACCCCCAGCCAAACACTGCCTAAGGTGGCCTGCCTGGGGGGTGGTTGAGTGACAGCTGTGGGCAGGACCAGACTGGATGATCAGCCTGGATCCCAGTCCTAGCATCTACCTCTGGAGGATCCTGCCATCTCCGTGCTAACACTGGGACATCCTTGGTAGACTGGGGCTTTAAAAGGGCACCAAACTGTGTCAGCTAGAGTTGGAGCAGGCCTTGCAGGCAAAGGGTAGGTGGCTCCCTGCCTAGTCCTGCCACCCCAGGGCAGGTGCATGAGGCCAGCGGAATGGAAGAGCTGTCAGACTGGCAGTGCTGCATCCTTCTGTGGTTCACTGGGGAGGGAGTGCGACTGGTTTTTAGGTGTCACCAGGAAATGTCCCCTTGGGGCAGCCACCCACATCCTAGGACCTGGGGTGACTCCATGGGCTCACCGGCCCTCCTTCAAGGCCAAAGAGGAGTGCCCAGACTCCCTCTCAGAGGCCCAGTGGCAGCCTGGCCCCACCCCAGCGCCTCTTTTGCTGGGGGGTGGGAGAGGGAGGGGCCTGGCATCTCCTGGAGCACCTATGGGTCCTGCCCAGAGGCACAGATGATGATGATGATATAGTCACCTGCCTCTGTTGGGTGCTCACCATGATCCAGGTGTAACGGTTTCCTGGGGGGCAATTTCCCTGCAGGATCATACATCGTCACAGGGAAAAGGGCACTCTCAGCCCCTCCCATGTTACGGATGAGGTAATGGAGGTGCCAGGGCGTTGAGCAGCTTCCCAAGGTCATATAGCTAGCAAGGGGCAGAGCTGGGAATGAGGACAGGGAGCAGTTGCCCGCCCCAAGGACATGGGGACCCTGTGTTGGTGCTGAAAGTGGCTGCCTAGGTGGCCCCCTTCCCCTCATCCACTCCCCGAAGCAGGGATCCTCATTGCTGGGGGCCCAGAGCGGCCTGTACCTGCCCCCCATATAAACCGGGCTCCCAACTGCTACCTCACCCTCCTGCAGAGTCTGCCCTGGGACCTTGGGCACCTTACTTAACCTCTCTGGGCCTCATTTCCACACCCTGTTTCTGGGGATTTTGTGCCAATTAAATGAATTAGTAAGTGTAAAGTGCTTCAAGCAGAGCGTGCTCTGTGGTGGGTGCTGGGACAGCTCACCCACGGGCCTCTGGCTCCTGGGAGTGCCCTATTTCTCTTCATGCTCCCAGCAGCCGGCAAGCCCATGGGCGCGTGTGCACACACACACACACCACACACACACGCGGGCGCACACGCTAGCACCCACGAAGGTGGAGGGCGGGGTCAGGACCCTCACTGCTTTGTCACGAGGGGGCGCTGCTGCCCTGTTCCTCCTGGGAGGTGAAGGCAGCCCACCAGGCCCTGCACGGAGGCCGGCTACCAGGCCTGTGGGCGGTGACTTGGCAGCTCCAGCCCAGTGTCTATGGCCTAGGAGGCTGCCTGTCACCACAGGGGGCCCACAGGACCCTGCTTTCACTGGTGAAATGTGGTGCCTCCCAAATGCTGAGCATCAAGAGGATGTGGTTTTGAGCCTCACTTTCCAGTTGGGCCCAAACTGCCCCCCTCACAAGGGTCATTGGGAGGATCCTAGGCATTAATGGGTGTGAGAAAAACCAAGCACGCATCATGGGTCCCTAAGTCTCTGCTTCCTTATACGTCATGAGGCAATACTGCCTCCTCCCCAGCTACCCTCTCTGGGACCCGATCTCACCTTTCGAACCACTCCAGAGGTGATGGCAATATTCTCTGCCTCCTCCACTGTCTTGATGGCCACCGTGTTGATGCTGGTGACCACGGCCTCACTCACAGCGTTGGCCTGCTCCTTGGTCTTCTCAGCCACTGCAAGAGGACTCTGGCTGGCCTTGGTCCTCCTGCCCGGTCCCCGCCTGGGCCTGGCCTGCCCAAGTCAGGCTGAGCAGCCCCTTTCTCAGAGCGCTCAAAACTCTGGCTCTACTGGAGGCCCGGGGCTGCCCCTTTCTCTGACTCCAGGGGAGCCCTGTTGCTGATGGAGGAATCAGGGGGCCCACCCTGGGTCTAGCCTCGGGGTCTGGTGGAGTCTGGATCCACTTACAGCTTGAGCTCCCAGTTGGGGGGTAAGGAGGACCCTGGGGTCAGGTGTTCAGTACCAGGTTGCAGTCCCTGGAGGTCCCAGCCCCAGTGTCCCCTGGTCCTGGGCTCCTCACCTGAGGTCACGCTCTGCACAACATTCTCCTTGGTCTTGGCTCCTGGGGAGGAAATGGAAGCGTCAGCCTACTCCTCCTGGTGTTGGGGGAGGGGAGGGGAGGGCAAATACACACAGAACAGCTGGACAAGCTGTGGGGTCAGTAGGGGGTGAGGATGGTGTCTGGGGGTCAGCAGTCCCTTCAAAGGCTGCTTCCGGCTGTGTCTGGAGGAAGGGGATGGATGGGAAGTGGACAGGACAGAACAGGGGTGGGAGAGACCAGGCCTGAGGTAGGGTGCAGACCTGCCCGGGAGAGGCCTGGGCCTCGGAAGCAGCAGCAGGACAGAGCTGAGTCACCGGCTTCCAAGGGGCTGAAGGGGGGTGGGGCTGCCCCGGACCGTGGGGCTCGGGCTCCTCTCCCCTGCCCACCCCTTCCCTCTGAACAGGGTGGGGGCCTGGGACGTGGCCGCTGAGCACCTGCCTGCTCATCCCACAGAGGCTCCAGGCTCAGCGTGGCTTCTCATCTGAGTCCAGGGGCCTGCAGGTGGTGCTGGGGTGGGGGACACTGGGTTGCATCTGTGCACTCACACTCACGCTCTCGTGCGTGTGTGCATGTGTGTGTGTGCACAGACAGGTGTGTGTGAGCGCTGAGTGCCCTCTTGCTGTTCTGCCCCAGAGACCCTGGGGCCCTGAGGAAGTCAAAGCAGACACTGGGGGGTTTGGAGGGGTGGTGTACAGGGGCATGGGGGTGCTCCAGGGCCTGGAGACCCTGACTCAACAGCCAGGTCCTCACCCCCACCCAAAATGCCTCCCTGGGGCTGGGGGATAAGGTTGGCCCTGGGAAACTGGGCACCCCCGCCTCCGGCCTCCCAGCCGCTGCACCCTGCCACGCCCTGCTTCGCCCACACTCACCCACATACATGACCCCCTCCTTGGTCTTCTCAGCCGCTTCCGTCACCCCCTGCTTGGTCTTCTCCACGGCGCCCACCACACCCTCCTTGGCGATGGAGAAGCCCTTCTTGAAGACGTCCATGGTGGTGGGCAGGGCAGGGAGGCTGACGCTTGCAGAGAGCTGTGGCTAGAGCAGGCAAGAATGCTGCTACAGCCGCCGTCCCCGCCGCCTCTTATTGACGCCCATGAAATATTGATGATGCGGCGGCTGGCTGCTGGGAGCATGGCCAGCAGGGCGGGCAGGGTGGGGGTAGGGCACCCGCCCTCACCTTCCCCCGGGGCGGGGCAGCGGGGGTCCAGCTCCCCTGCGCCCCTGCTGCCCAGCCCTCCCCTCCTGCCCCCTGCCCTCCAGGGAGGGCGGCTGCAGGGGGCTGCACACATCCTTATCCATCACTGCCCCTTATTCATCCGCTGCCCTGCCCACCCACAGCGGCCGCCGCGGCTGGGGGCTCTCAGGCCCCGAGCCTGTTGTGTCTGATCCATCTGGGACAGAGGGGGTCAGGCAGGGGAGGCGCCTTTGCTACCAGCGTCCCAGGTAGGGCAGGGGTCAGGGCCCCGTGGGGCCTGTCAGGCAACAGTGGCCAACTTCCCAGACCAGCCTGGGCTGCCTGGTGACTCACCAGCCCCGTGGACGGCCCCATCCCCGGGCTCTAGCAAGGGCAGCCAGGGAGCTGGGGCAGGGGAGCCCGCAAGGGTTCCCCAATGCCCTAGCGACCCTAGGACAGCTCCTTTCTCTCTCTGAGTCTCCACCCACCTGCTGGCTCCCACAGCCCTGGGCTGGAAGGTGCTGAGTAGGCATGAAGTGCCCTCCGCTTCCTGGCCACCAGCATGGATGGGCAGCAGGTTTCCTGAGACTGACCCGACCGCTTCCTGCAGCCCCCACCTCCTCGCTTGGGCTCTCCTAGCTCCCATGGGGACATGTTTGGTGGGGCTGCCTCCCTGTGCGTCCCACACCTCCAGTGTCCCTGACCTAAGTCCTCTTGAGGCACAGGAACCAGCCTGAGTTGTTGGCTGCCTCTGTGGGGGACGGTGGGGGGGGGCACCGGGGGAGGCCGGACGAGTCTCACCGGGTGGGCCGGCCCAGGCCACTTCCTCTCTTTGTTGTCCCTGTGCTTTCTTTTCCTTCTGAGACTTAACTTGAAGACGACGTCACCCTCACCAGCAGTTTGTGGAGTCCTTTGCTGCAGCTGAGCCTGCCCCACTGCCAAGATGATTCTGACACTGCTGCTTGGCCTCGGAGGGCCCCTGGGCTGGGGGCTGCTGGGGGCCTCGGCCCAGGGCCCAGGTAGCGGGCTCTCGCATCCACAAAATCCAAGGCCGCCTGGGGTCTGGAGGGCGGAGGCTGAGGACACCGGCAGGGACCCCAGCAGACGGTAAGAAGGACCTCGACCTTGGGGGAGGTCGTGTACCTGATCCAAGTCCCAGCTCAGCCAGGACAGGTCTCTCGGGACCCCAGTTACCCATCTGTGAAATGACCTACAACTATCTACCTGCTGGGCCAGCTGTGAAGCTGAATGAGGTGCCAGGTGCCAGGCTCCTTTCAAGAGGCCACCCCGAGGCAGCCCGGACTGGGCACCACAGAAACTTCCCTGCCTGGCCCACGGCAGGGAATGGCCCTGGAGGTTGGGCAGGAGCATTTCTTGCCACCAACTGCTTAGCTTGGGGTGATGAGGGGCAGTAGTTCCAGAAGTTTCCAGTTGGCCTGGCAATGGCTCCTGTTCTTCGAAGTAAGTAAACTCTTGACAGTTGAGCCTAGGTGAGGCTGGCCTGGCCTAAGTCATAGAAGACGGGCACTCCTGGAGACTGGATTTTTGTCTGATTGCCCCCAGGGGACTGGCGTGGGCCCTCAGGCCGAGGGACAGGCAGCGAGCAGACAGGGTGCTCTGCTCTATTTCCAGAACAAGGAGGAGGCCATGGCATCCAGGGAGCTCCGCTTCAGTGCCCCTCTGGAAATGGGTAGGATGGTCTTGGGACCGAACCAGGACACCATTTTCCAGCCTTGTATTTGTCCAGGCCCTGGGTCCCCCTGCCGATAAGGTGCTGGGCCTGTGGGTCCCTCCTTCGGGTCCTCCACCGTCAGAGCAGCAGGTCCTTTATTGGGTCCATCTCGGGCTAGTCACCTTGCCATTGTTATCTCAGCGAATCCTCCCGACAGCCCGGGTTGCCGCGGAGCCCGAGGCTCAGAGAGACTAAGCAGCTGCCACAAGATCACACAGCTAAGGAGATCTAGAAACCACGATCTAAGTCTGACTCCAGAGCTCATGCTCTGGTCCCTGAGCACTCAGAGGCAGCCCCAACCCCCAGATGTGCCTAATATGCGTACCGTACCCCTGACCACACGCACACACAAACCAGGCTTGGTAAGAGTGTTTATATGGTGAGGGTGAAAGGGGTCAGTTTACACCCACCCAGAGTCTTCCATTTGGCTCTCTGAGATTCACTGTCACGTTGGCTTACAGAATGAATCCGCCTGGGACAGTTCTATACAGCTCTGACGCTTCAAGGTGAATGTGTTTGTTGGACACTTTCCCGAAAGCAGATTTGCCCATGGAGAGGAAAGAATAAGCAAGTGCACGCCGACTCTCAGTGAGGGAGAGGCTGGCCAAGTGGGGAGGCTCCCCATCTCTGCCCCGCCAGCAGGCCGGCTCAGTGCTGGATGGTGCGGGTGATTCTTGGTGGGGGACTCCAGCCACCCAACTCTGATTTCAGGTCCAAGAACCAAGCCTCCTTTCCCCATAGCCACTAGCTCCATGCCCCTTTCTTTGGGCTGCCTGCTTCTTTTTGATAAAGGAGAGGCTCAGGGTTCCAGGTGGATCAGAAGAAGGTAGGAGACATTCCTCTTTTTCCACACCCCCTTGGCTATGCGGAGGGACTTGTGGGCTGCCCCATGGAGCTCACTCATCCATTCCCTGGTCGGTCCCAGTGTGTGCAGAGCATGTGCAGATGTACATAGAAGGGCGTCCCAGCCCAGGAATACCCTGGTCCCAGGGGAACCCTGGGGGATCCCAGCAGGCCTGCTGGGTCTCCTGCCCACAACCCAGAAGCTGTGGTCCCCACAGGCCCAGCCCAGGTTGTCAAGGCCTCCGGAGGGGCTGGTGTGAAAGGAAGGAAATGCTGCTCAGCTTCCTCGGGCTGATTGCTTCCCGTGCTCTGTGAAGGGAGAGGCGGAAATGGTGCTCCAGCTTCCCTCCTGCAACAGGGGGAAGGGGAGGTGGGGCCCGGCAGCATCAGGGACAAGCCTGGTGGACCCTCAGCCCCTGGCTGCCAGAACCAGGCCTCCCAGCCTGCATTTGCCCCACCCCCACACCTGTTTCTGGCAGACCCTGGACATGGGCTCAGATTAGACTATTTCCAAGAAGAAGTTCGAACAGAACAATTTGGTGCCAGACGCCAGGTCCCAGGGTGGAGGCCGGACATGGTTGGGTACTTCCCACGGCCCTGGGACCCCCAGCAACATGTGTATTTGGACTCTGTGGGGAGGAGGCTCTTTCGATGCTCCCCGGTTTTGGTGGGAGTGGGATTGAGCAGCGGTTTAGCAGGTGGGCTCCTCAGAGCCCGCACTAGCTCCCCCTGCAGGGCTGAGCCTGCGTGGAGGACCAAGTTGAGCCCTGGGCAAGGTGCCCCATCTCCATACTGCAGTGACAAGGCAGCTCCCTCGGCTCTCTCTCTGCTGTGAGGCTCAGAGGAATGGGGACGCCACCCAGCTCCTAAGTGACAGGTCAGAGCATCCAGTGGGCTGCAAATCCCGGGTACCCGCTGTCCTGTCCCCCCAGGATGGGCGGTAGTGTAGGAGAGGCTGCTCCCAGCAGTCCAGCTGGCCCTGCCTGCCGGCATCAGCTTCTCTTGGCCCACGCACAAGTAGCATCTGTGATGGGGTGCAGCTGAGCTCTGGTGGCCCAGGGGAGGCCTGCACATGGCTGGAGGTCACACAGGACGGACGGAGCCCAGGCCACGCATCACGGCCGTGGCTGCACCTCCTGCACCTGTTCCTGCCGTCAGAAGTACAGGGCCCTGGGCGCACTCGGGGAACCCCCACTCTGGACATCGAGTGGGCCTCAGGTTCCTCTGCCAAAGCCCCTTTCCAGCTCAAAGACAAAGCCCCGCAAATTCTCCCCTGGAGTGGTCGTATTCAAGGCCGCATTTGAGGTCTCAGAAAGCAAGGGTGCAGAGAACACGCCCTCCTTCCCCAGAAAGACGGAAGGGGCTGTCAGAGGTGGGCTCTTTTGGCAGTGAAGTGTCCCAGTGGACAGTGGCAGTGGCACATCCATAATTCGGGGGGCTCCAGCTCACAGACCTCTCCCTGCTGGAAGCTGGCTCAGCCTCCCGCATAGCCCCTCTCTCTGTCCCAAGGGAGGGGCCAGAGGTGGCAATCTTCTTCACATTGCCAGGACTGGGGAGGGGGGAAGGGCCTTGCTCACAGTCACCCTGAGCCCAGGAAGGGGGACAGGCTTCTGAGCTCGCATTAGAAGCTCCAAAGGGGCCAGCACTCTCCTGACTGTGGCAAAGCCTCAGGTAGGGGCCATGTCAAAGGCCCAGGACAGCCCAAACTCGCTGGAGGATCCCCGCACTCATTTCTAGGCTGGCCCCAGGGGATGAGGGCACAAAGGGGGCGCAGAACAATGGGAGCTTCGGGGAGCCGGGCTGGGGGCTCAGGCTCGGAGGGCCAGCATGCAGCTGCCAGGAGCTGGAGGAAACCAAAGCAAAGGTCAGGAATGTTCCCAGGGCTTCTGGGCCAGCGGCCTGTACTATGCCAAAGGGATAGGGCTGCCAAGGGTGGGGGGTGGGGGAGCGTGGGCAGGGAGAATAGTTGGAGCCTGAGGTTTGGGCAGGTCAGGAGAGAAAGTTCCTGGGCAGGAAGGGTGGGCAGCACCGCTTCCGGTTCCAGGAGCTCGAGGTGGAAAGTCCCAGTCACTGGCTGGCAGGCTGGACCAGACCCAGCTCGCCTGGGCACAGGCCTTCTGGACCCTCCACAGCAGTTCAGAGGGTGAGCAATGAACAGAACTTTGTTTTGAGTGGGTGTTTCCCAACCTCGGCACTACTGGCATTTGGAACTGGCTAATTCTTGGCCACGGGGGTGCTGGGCTGTGCCGTGTGCATCGCGAGGTGTTCGGCAGCATTCTCGGTCTCCGCGCATTAGATGCTGGGTTCACGGCCACCCTCCCAGTGGAGGAAGTCCCTTCCCCCCACCACCCACCGCCCCCCGCCCCACTGAGAACCACTGGTTAGAGAAACGATTTTCCCCAGACCCATGTTCCAGCATTTCCATGGGGCCCAGGGTGGAGGCTGGAGTTTCTGGTCCTGGAACAGTCTGTGCAGGTGGCCGTCTCACCGGTGGTCCCTAAACTCTGGGCCCAGCACTGTCACAGTCGCTCTTTCCGCGCTGAGTGAACACTCTTTGCCTAAAGTCAGGGCCAGCTCCATGGGCATGTGACCTGAGCCGTCACACAGGGCGTGCCCACAGAAGGTCCCCACGCTTGGTTTAATCTCTATTGTTGTCCCACATTGTCATTTTGCACCGGACACTACAAATTATGTAGTCAGTCTCGTGTAAAATATTTATTCTCTCTCCCTTTACGGAAAAACTGTGCTCACCCTCTGGGTTAGAGTCAAACCTTCTGCAAAGTTGGTTGAGATAGTCAGAAGCCCCTGCCCCCACTGGTCCCCAAAGGCAATGCTTCGAACTCTTTAGGTGAATCCTTTGGCATTTACCCATATCTCTAACTAACATGTTTATATTGCTACTTCTTGGGACATAGCATTATCCGTGATTCAGCTCTCATTCCCACTTCATACTCTAACCCCAACATGCATGCATAGGCGTGCAAGAATGTGTGCACGTGCATGCGTGGTCACACACACACGCACTGCCTATCCATCATCCTCCCATATTGTCATTTTGAGTGTTTACATTTATACGACTATGTATGCTACTCAGAGTGAAGACTTGAAAAAAACCTATGAATCCTCCCTCCCCCCCGCCCCCCCCCACCCCGCACGCTTCATATTTTTGGTCTTCCCTGGAATAAACAACTGTCTTCATTTTTTTGTTTCTTTGGCTTCGTTCCCTGTGTCTGTCACTACTCAATCCTAAACTCTTGGCCACTTGTCCACATCTGCTCTCCCCTTTCATCCGTGTCAGGTGTTTGACCACCTGTGTCTTCTCAGTGACATCGCTCTCAGAGCCCCAGCTGTGCTCCAGTCTGGACACTGGCCCCACACCCACTGCCCATCACTGTAACTGGGCTCTCCTTCCCCCCGACTCCCTCCTGGAACGTCTGTCTCCTGAGGCCATCCCTTCCTCGTGCTTGGTTCTCTGACCTGTGTTGGTGGAGTACCTCCGGCACAATGGTACTCTGTCCTCGGCTGTGACTTAGGATGACCCAGAGAGTTTTAAAATGTTGATGCTCAGGCCACAATCCCAGAGACTCTTGCTTCATTGACCTGGAGTGGAGCCCAGAGGCTCTTCTTTATAAAGTGCTATACAGGGGTTTTGATGTGAAGATTTGATGGCAAGCTTGCAAACCACTGTTCTAGTAGCTCCCTGATGAGGGGTCCTGGGTGTGCAAGGTTTTGAAATCTGATTTGTTGAAAAATGTCTTTATTCTGCTCTCTTCACTTTGATTGATAGTTAGGCTGAGTATAGGATTCTAAATTGGAAATATTTTCCTTCTGTATTTTTTTAAAGATTTTATTTATTTATTTATTTATTTATTTATTTATTTATTTATTTATTTATTTAAGCGGGGTAGGGGCAGTGTGAGCAGGGAGAGGGACAAGCAGACTCCGCACAGAACATGAAACCCAGTGCGGGGCTTGATTTCACAACCCTGAGATCATGACTGGAACCGAAACCAAGAGTCAGACACTTAACTGACTGAGCCACCCGGGTGCCCCCATTCCATATTTTGAAGGCAGTTCTCCACTGTGTTCTAGTTTCCAGTGTTGCTGTTGAGGGGTTCAAGGCCGTTCTAAGTGCTAATGTATGTATGTGTGTGTGTGTGTGTGTTGATTTTTCTCTCTAGAAAGTATAGAATTATTTTCATTTCCAGAGTTCTAAAATTTCATGATGATATTGAGTTTTTTCCATCATATTGAAGGTAACTGGTAGACCCTTTGAATCTGGAGGTTCAAGCCCTTCCCTTCTGTAATATTTGATTTTTTTCATCAACGATTTCCTCACGCTCTTCTCTTTCTGGAACTCCTATTATTTGGATGCTAGATTTCCAGGATCTATTTTTCTGACCTTTCCTCTCCTGTTTTCTCTTTCTCTCTTTGCTCTTTTTTTAGGAAAATTTCTCTAAGTTTACCCTCTAACATTTCTTTTAAATCTCCTTTGCATTTCTACTGTTATATTTTTAATTTCCAAGGGTCCTTTTCATTCTCTGAATGTTCTTCCATTTTTAAAATAGCTTCCTGTTCTTTCTTGGATGTAGTAAATTCTGTCATAGATCTGGGGCTATTATTACAAATTCGATGGACTTCTCTTCTCTGCCCAGTGTTGGTTTTGTCCAAGTTGATTTTTTTTCCAATTGCTTGTTTTTGACCTCCCTCTTTTGTACTAGAGGTTTTTCTCAGGAGTCATCTTGGACATCTATCTGCCCACTTGAGAGTAGACAGACTAAGAAGCTGATTGGAAGCTGGGTGTACGGATGGAGCTTTCTGACCTCTTTTGTCATAATATGTTCTGCTGGGCTATTTCACTGGGGGAGCCCCTGATGTTATTGTTTTTTTAGCTCTTTCCTCTTGAGTGGGGTCATTTTCCTGACAAGCTTTTTCAGTCTGCTACCAAGAGGGTAAAACCTGCCCACCAGGCTTTTAGGAGCCAAGTGGGAAATCAGACTGGGGGTCCTCAGCTTTCAAAACAGATATGGTCACTCAATCCCCCTCAGTCCTTCCCCCTGCCCTACCCCTATCCCTGTGTGCCTGGTAGCCCCAGGACAGAGACCAGCTCCAGAGAGTAAGATCTCAGCCCGATGGCCACTCCATCTCCAAGGCCCTGAACACTGCCTCCTAATATCTGACAAGTGTGGCCATTCCTCTCCATACCCACCGCCATTACCCATGGAACCTGCCAGCATCTTCCACCTAGATCCCTGACACAGCCACCTACCTATACCTTGCCCCTTCTTGTCCTTTCTGTACCCAGGAACCAGGGTGGCTCTGTCATGTCACTTCCCTGCTCAAGCCCCACCCCCCCCCCGCCCCAAACACACACAACTTTTTGTGCTTTCAGGACATGGTCCAGCTCCTCAGCTAGCACTCAGACCTCCACAGCCTGGCTTCTCTACCTCTGCAGCTCTTCCCTGGCCCAGCCCCTGCATTTCAGCGGGCCATAACCTCTACCACAGCCCCTGGTGCCAAATTATCACCTCCTTCTGAAAGTCCCCCCAGCTACCACCTTCCACACCATCTGAGATTGCCTGCTTTTTCCTGGGGACCCTGGAGGGAAGGTCTGTTCCTCCATATTGGTGCTGAGTGCTGCTGAGCTTTAGCCCAGCACCCAATCCCCAAGAGGTGCTGAGCTGAGTTGAGCCATGGAAGTCACTGCCGCTTGCAACTCTGGAGAGCTCTGTTCTGGGAGCTGATTACCAGGCGAAGGACCCTCTGACATATTCTACTGAGCCCTTCAAGGCTGTCACTGGACCAGTGAGTGGGGCTGTGCCAGCCATGAGCACCCCTGCTCCTGGGCATTTGCAACCACACACACTGGTAAAGGGCAGAGATGGAGAGGCTACCCCTCTGGTGTTCAGGATGCTGAATGTGACCCCCTAAGCACCCTGTAGGACCTTGCCCAGAGAAGGGACTGCTCAGCTCAGCTGCTTTCTCCCACAACTGTTTGAAAGCCCATTTCCATAATGGCCATCACGGGGAGTGGCCAGGGAGCAGGTGCCTTCCCCGCAGCCTGCTCGGTGTGAGGAAACCTGTGAGTGGTGATGGGGCAGGGCAGCAGGGTTCACTGAGCACTTGTCAGGAGCCAGGCCCTTAATACTCATCCGCACACCTGGAGGAGGGTATTATCATCTCCAGCTGAGGAATGGGGAAGGGGGAGCTCCCTAAGTGCCTCCCTCAAGGTCACACAGCCGGAGTGTGAAGGATTTGAACCCAGGACCCTCCAGCCCCAGCAGCACTATGCTGCCTCCCTGGCACCAAGAGAAACAGTGAGAGGCCCTCCTGGCTCCGTGGGTCATTTTGCTGTGTGAATTCAGGCCTGCTCTCCAGCCTCTCTGTGCTGGCCCCTGCTCGAGGGCCTTTCTGGAAGGCAGTAGAGGAGATGCCCTTGCAGGAGGGTTTGTGGAGCTTTTGTCCTGGAGTCGAGGGATGAATAATGCAGAGTGCTCCCCTCTCAGGCTAATGGATTCTAGAATCCCGGACATTGGGTGGGGCCGGGAGGCAGGGGTGGTGCGCTGGCTCCACTGTTGACCTCTAGGAAGGGTCCTGTGGGACCTGGGCGTGGCTCGGCAGCCCTCTCCTCTGGCTTGTTTTTCCAGTAACTGGTGCCCTTACCAGAAATCCAGCCTGGTCACCTTTGTAGCTGCTTGCAAAACGGAGAAATTCCTCGTCCACTCACAGCAGCCATGTCCACAGGGGACTCCGGACTGCCAGAAAGTCAAAGTCATGTGAGTGGGGCCAGGATGGGGCAGGGCGGGCCATCCGTCCAAGGCCCATGCTGGCTCACCCTGGAGTCACTGAGCTGGCCCCTCTTTCCCCAGGTATCGCATGGCACACAAGCCACTGTACCAGGTCAAGCAGAAGGTGCTGGCCTCCGTGGCCTGGAGGTGCTGCCCCGGCTATGCAGGCCCTGACTGCCAGCACCACGGTAGGGCTCCCCGGGGCTCCCTCCCCTCCAACCTCTGACCCCAGAGGTCAGGCAGTTCCTCTGACCTGTGTGGTCACTATCTGTTGCCTCCTCTCCACAGATCCCACGGCAATCCCTGAGCCTGAAGATCTAGGTGACGGCCTCCAGGAGCCTTGGGATGGGCCGGTCGGCTTTGAACCTGGTATGCTGCTTCCCTAGAAGGTGCAGGAAGGGCAGGCAGGCAGAAAGAACACATGTGCCCAGGCCCTTTCTTTTCTGATAGGGTGGTGCCATTTCAGGAAAACTCTGTGCCCAGAATCAGCAGGGGCCCTTCCATGGCTCTGTATCAGCCTACCCCCACACCAAGGAGGCCAGAGTCACAGGGCCCTCTGTTACTACCTGCTGGCTAAGCACCACACCCTTTTCCTTGACTCCATTTTCTGAGAAGGACAGCTTCATCTGGCACCTTCCCTGACCCTTGAATGGCACAAGATCCCATGGCCTGGAAGAAACTTTCCCACATGTGTCCTACCGAGGCCGGGAAGTCATACTATCCTTGGTCTAGAGTCAGCACAGAACCACTAAGAGGCACCATTTGTGAGGCCTTTCAAGGCTGGGCCACGTTCGGGATGGCAGATGAGTTTCATCATGTGTTGAACTTATCTTTTGACAAGGGCTGCCTCAAATGATGTTGAGAGGCCATGTCCACATAGCCGAGGAGGAAAGTGTGCCGTGATTGATTAGTCATGTCTGCTATGGGTGCTGGGATGAGGGGGAGGGCTCATGGGCATGCATTTCCCCTTCTGGAGCTAAAGGCTGCTAGACTCGGAGGACATCAGCACATACCTCCCTAATATTTCCATCTGAACCTGGAAATTTCCTTCTCTGTACCTCCTGATCTGCCCAGGCCTGGGGAGTTAGACCACCACACTTCTCTCTCATGTGTCTTCAGGCCACCCGGCAGCCGAGCTCAGCAACATCATGGAGCGGCAGGAACGCTTGCTGGGAGATCTCCAGAATGACATTCACCAGGTGGCAGATGGCCTCCCGGGCCAGTGGAAGGCCCTGGCAAGCAATCTCACAGCTGCCACGATCGGGGCAAATCAGACAGAGCCTGGTGAGTGTCAGGCTCCAGGGGCTGAGGCAGAGCCTGCTCATACCCGAGGGGACAAGAGGAAGGCCCAAATCTCAGAGGACCCCCCCGCCCAGTCCTTGCCCGGGGAGGGGTGTCTGCTCCTGCAGGGCTTGTGTAAAAGCATGTCTCTGTTGCAGAGGCGCCTGGCAGATCCTTGGAGCAAGTGCTACTGCCCCACGTGGACGCCTTCCTACAGGTGCATTTCAGCCCCATTTGGAGGAGCCTCAACCAAAGCTTGCACAGCCTCTCCCAAGCCATAAGAAACCTGTCTCTTGATGTGGAGGCCAACCAACAGGCCATCAAGGGGGTCCAGGAGAGCTCGGTGGCCAGGGCTGACTTCCAGGAGCTTGGGGCCAAATTTGAGAGCAAGGTCCAGGAGAACGCCCAGAGGGTCGGGCAGCTGAGGCAGGACGTGGAGGAACGCATGCACGCCCAGCACCTCTCCCTGCAGCAGTCGCTCTCCGAGGTCGAGGCGGACGTGGATGCCAAGTTGAAGAGGTTCGTTAAGGCCCAGGAACCCGTCGGGGCCAACGGCAGCCTGGTCCCAGCCGCGGCAGGGGCCGGGGCCAGGCCAGAGCCGGAGAGCCTGCAGGCCAGGCTGGGCCAGCTGCAGAGGAACCTGTCGGCGCTGCACACGGCCGCCGGCCGCAGGGAAGAGGAGTTACAGAGCACCCTGGCGGACATGAGGGCCACCCTGGCGCAGCACGTGGATGAGATCAAGGAGCTGTATTCGGAGTCCGATGAGACCTTCGATCAGATCAGCAAGGTGGAGCGGCAGCTGGAGGAACTGCAGGTGAACCACACGGCGCTGCGTGAGCTGCGCGTCATCCTGATGGAGAAGTCGCTGATCATGGAGGAGAACAAGGAGGAGATGGAGCGGCAGCTCCTGGAGCTCAACCTCACCCTCCAGCACCTGCAGGGCGGCCACGCCGACCTCATCAAGTACGTCAAGGACTGCAACTGCCAGAAGCTCTACTTCGACCTGGACGTCATCCGCGAGGGCCAGAGGGACACCACGCGCGCCCTGGAGGAGGCGCAGGTGAGCCTGGACGAGCGGCACCAGCGCGACGGCTCGTCCCTGCAGGCCCTGAGCGGCACGGTGGCGGCGCTGTCGCGGGCGGTGGACGCGCAGCGGGCGGAGGGCGAGCGGGCGCGGGCCGACGGGGCGCGGCTGCGGAGCCAGCTGCGGGCGCTGGACAGCGAGGCGAGCGCGCTGCGGGCGGCGCACGGGGAGATGCGGGCCGAGGTGGGCCAGCTGCACAACTACTTCACGGCCCTGCTGGACGACGCGCTGCGGCACGAGGCCGTGCTGGCCGCCCTTTTCGGGGAGGAGGTGATGGAGCAGATGGCGGAGGAGGCGCCCGACCCGCTGCCCCTGCGCTACGAGCAGATCCGCGCCGGCCTGCGGGACGCCGCCAGCGGGCTGCGGGAGCAGGCGCTCGCCTGGGACGCGCTGGCCGCGCGGGTGGCGGCCCTGGAGCGGGCGGCCGGGGTCGGCGGGCCCACCCCGGCCGGGCTGGCGCAGGAGCTGGAGCGCCTGGACGCCGACCTCCGGCGGGTGGGCCGGTGCTGCGAGGCTTCGGGGGCCTCCCCCCTCAACCGCTCCCTCGAGGGCCTCCACGAGGCGCTGGCCGCCACCGAGCGCGACTTGGAGCAGCACCAGCGCCTCTTCCACAGCCTCTTCGGAAACTTCCAAGGGCTTGTGGCTGCCAACGTCAGCCTGGACCTGGGGAAGCTGCAGACCATGCTGAGCAGGAAAGGGAAGAAGCAGAAGGGTCTGGAAGCTCCCCGGAGGAGGGACAGGAAGCAAGCAGAGACTTGGGCGGAGAAGCCTGTCCAAGGGCCGGTGCTCTGGGAGGCAGGTGAGTTCCGGAGCTGCGGGAGGCTGGGTGGGCCTGGGGGGACAGGGCTGTCTGCTGGCAGCTCTTCCGCCTCCAAGAAAGCGAGGTGAAAGAGAATGGGGAGACCAAGGGTCAGGACTACTCAGGGCCGGCTTTGCCCTGATCCACCTTTCATTCAGGGCCAGAGGCCTCTTATGGTACCTGAAGTATAAGCAGATAGAAGTCACAAGAGCCAAATGTCAGTGAGCGGGCAGAGGCCCGGCCATGGAATGTTTGAGGCTCCTAGATACACGGCTGGCCACTGCCACTCCACCTGTAGAGCGGGCGGGGAAAGCCTCCCTTTCCTGCCAGCCACAGCCCCCGCATCGCAGCTCTTCCTGTCCTCCCGACTTCACCCTGTGCATCTTTAATCAGCTCCCCTGTATACAAATATGTGAACGGGGGCTGGTGTGGCCTGCCATGGGCAGTACCCCACACGAGGGGAATCCAGGGGAAGGCCTTGGGCCCTGAAGGGAGCTCGTTGTGCTGACATAGTTGGCCCATCTCGCTGCTCTGCGCCAGGTCTCCTTTCTCGGCCTTTGCTATGTTGAGTCATCATAAAGCCCAACGGCAGTCGTCACTGCTGTCCTCCCTGCAGCTCAGTCAGGGGAACTGTCCCGTTCACACAGCTAGCAAGTGGCACAGGGAGCCCTGAAGGCCCTTGGACCTTGGAGAGGTCCAAGCTGTCTCTAGGGTGCTAGCTCTTCCCCCGTGAGCAGGGGCCCTGGGCCTGGGCAACCGGCTTGGAGCCTTCCCCGCCCCTCCCTGAGTGTGTCCCTGGGAAAGGGACCCCCAGACTTCGTGCCCCAGGTGATTCTCCCCTGCCAGAGAGGCTGGCCTCGGGGCTATGGCCACCTCTTCATCCAGACACAGGACCGGGTACAAGGCCGCCATCTGGGCTGTCTATACCCCGGTGTAGCCTGGCATGTGGGAAGTCTGAGGCCTGGCTGAGGATCCCACCCCAAGCTCTCCCTGCTCCTGCCGACTCTCCATCCCGGCCCTGGAGGCCTGGGGGCCTGGGGGCGGTGGACAGAGCACAGTCTCTAGCACCACTTACTCATCTCAGTTTCTCCCTCTGTAAAATGGGAGAATCGCTACCTACATCGAAGTCTTGTTGTGAAGACTAGCAGGTATATTTACTGACTACCTGACATAAGGGCTAACATTTAGTAGAAACCAGTCAGCGTTTCCCCGTTTCCCCAGCATTTTCAGGGACAAGGCTCTGACTGCCTGCACTAATTCATCCAGCTTTTTTCCTCCTGCGTGTGGTACAAGGCCTCAATTGCCTGAGGGTTTAGGTGTCTGAGTTTACCACTGCAATAGTTTATTTCAAAAAATGTTTTTCCTTAAAAATAAAAATTCCCGCTTATTTGTCTTGTAGAAAGACCACAGGTCTTGAATTTGTGCCCTGCAGGGAAGGCCACTCTCAGTTTACCTGCTAGCGAATCAGAGAAGCACAACCCTTGAGCCTTCTGAGGGGCAGGTTGGGCCCAGGGGCCGGTAGGGGTTGGCCTGGAAGGTGGGACTGAGCGGCCGGCAGGCTGGCTGCAACGGGTGCAGAGAGAGCCAAGTACCGGCAGAGGGCGCGCTGGGCGGGCATCCCTTGGGCTGGGCGAGCGCCCCACCTCCTGGCTGCTGGGGGAACTGCAGAGCCAGCCGCGGGCCTTTGACGGGACAGAATCTTAACTACAAATGGGAAAGTTATTCCAAACTCTCCAATTCTCAGAAAATCTTCCAGAACTAAAGAAGAGCAAAATTTTGACATTCGCAAGACTATTGCTGGACCGGGAGCCAAAGAGCTGGGGCTGTAGGTGGGATTAAGGCACTAACCACGATGCAAATTTCCCCTCCTCTAGGCCTCACTTGGTTTTATCCCCTAAGAAACGGGGAGTTTGGTCTCAACCAAGAGACACACAGAGAGAGATACAGAGAGACACACAGAGAGTTGAGGGAGCCCATGGGGAACATGACCTCATCAGTGCCAGGGCCAGTTTCATGGCCAGAACCCCCTGGGACTTACCCTTCCCGTTTCTTGGCTCTGTCCCCCACCCCGCCTGAGAGTCATGGCCAGGTAGCTGGGTTGGCTTCTTCCTCACCGTACACTCGCCCTCTACACGGAGAGGCTCCCTCTGGCTGCACGCCTGCACCTGTGTTCTCTTCATCTCGCTTGTCCTCCCATGGCTGGCTAAAATGCTTTTTTACATGGGAAGAGCACTGGAAATCAGGAGATCCAAGGACAGCTCCCAGTGTGGTAATTTATTACCTGTGTCTTCTGGAGCTGGCTTTCCCTTTCTGGGCCTATTTCCCCATCAGTAACCCTAGGGCTCTGTGCAAGTTTGAAAACATTAAGATGACCCGCTTGAAGAGTTTTCTTGTCCGGTCCCGCTTGCTCTTCTCTCTCCAAGGTCCCATGCCAGACATCCAGTAGGAAGGATCCTGCAGTGTTCTTTCTTTCACCAGTGTTAGCATTATTACCTGGAGGATAGGTAGTATTTTCTCTCTTGCCCTTGGGTATCTCAAGATCCCCAGGAGGTGGCAGTCGTGTGGGAGTCAGAGACCCGGGTGCCTGCCCCGTCTTGCCCTTGGCAAGCCACGCAGCTTTGGACAACCAGTTAAGCACTCAAGACTCAAGGTTTCCTCGGGGGGCGGGGGTACTTACCTCTCAGGATGTTGGAAGGAAAGGGGAACAAATGAAAAAGTGCTTTTTAAAAATGTACACTCGTAGAAACAACCGACTCGTATTTTCCTTCCTCTCAATTAGTGACCCAGTGAGTGTTGGCCGGTTGGCTACCACTTTCTGAGGCCACTATTGGGAACCCCTGGGTTATCTAGAAATAGTGACCTATTCCTACCGTTAATAAGGTGAGAAGGGCGGGTCTCAGGGTTTGGTTTCCCACCAAGGGGAGTGAGAGACAGTCACTGAGCATGTTCCTCCTGCATTCCAGGCACCCCTGTGGCCTTCTATGCCGGCTTTTCAGAAGGCACGGCTGCGCTGCAGACGGTCAAGTTCAACGCCACTTACATCAATATTGGCAGCAGCTACTTCCCTGAACATGGCTACTTCCGAGCCCCGGAGCGTGGCGTCTATCTTTTTGCAGTGAGCGTTGAATTTGGCCCAGGGTCAGGCGCCGGGCAGCTGGTGTTTGGAGGTCACCATCAGACTCCTGTCAGTTCCACCGAGGAGGGGAGGGGTAGCATGGCCACGACCTTCGCTATGGCCAAGCTGCAGAAAGGCGAGAGGGTGTGGTTTGAGTTAACCCAGGGATCAGTCATCAAGAGAAACCCACCAGGCACTGCATTCGGGGGATTCCTGATGTTCAAGACCTGAACGCCGGGCACAGCCCTGACCAGACGTCGTGGACTCACCCAGCTCTCCTTGGCCTGGAGCTCTGGCCAGGGTTGGTCTGGAGACCATCCAATTGGTCTAGTTCTTCCTGGAAAACTTTTGCAAAGACGATGCGGTATTTGGGGCCTTCCTCTAGATGCACTGGGTTTGGCTATTTCTTAATGACGAGAAGAACTGGAAGGCTTCTGTCTGGGCAGAACCTGGCCCGGGGAAGTGTGAACCTTAGCTTGGCGTGCCGTCTGAGGCAGGATGGCATTGTGGGCTTCAGCTCTTTGCCACACCCTGGGTCCTGCAGCTTCTTTGGTGTGTTGCTCCTCCTGTGGTTGGAAACTTTAGAACTTTCTCCCACTTCTCCCTAATCTTATGCTAGAAAATCATTCCTCCCCTGAAGGACTATGTTTAAAATGGAGGCGACATCTCGGACAATGTTGGAAACCAGTCTTTACCCACTACAGGGCGGTAGGAGAAAACCGACCTGTTTGGCTTCTATTAGAAATGGGGACAAAGGCCTCGTTGAGTTAACCAAAGGAAACAAAATTCTCTTTCCCTCAGTTTCGGTCCTTCCTTGAATTTATCTGTAACCTTAATTCCACTTCTTTTTCTCCTTGCCTCCACATGATAAAGGCCAAGACATGCCAAAACATGAACTAAAACGTGTACAGCCTTCACCCCTTTTACTTCCTCCACTCGCTGATGACCATCCTCATTCTCATGAGCATCTCTAACCAGGAAGGAGGCTGAGGGAGGAAGGGAAGGACGATTGTCAAAATCTCCTTCGGTAATGATCAGCTCTGGAATAAAGCAATGCCCTTCAAATCTCGGCCTGGTTTATTTATGGAGCGCGAAAGGAGTCGGTAAAGGAGGTAGAAATATGGGACAAAATGAAACGATTTGGGATAAATGTGACTCTCATGATTCCAGGCTGTATTTGACTTCACAGTTCCAGTAACTTCTACACGACACGTGCCTCCACAGCAGGCAGTGGTGAGAATACTTGGTCAGACAGAAACACTTCGGAGTTGCAACTGTTCCCGCAATATCGGGGTAGGGTTTTCAAAACATTACAGTCCCTGGAGCAAACAGGCCTGCGAGAGCAGCCGTCTGGTTGTTAGGACGTGTTTGTGTTGTGGTAGTCAGGTATCCCGTGTGTGTTGAACATACTCTTTTGCGTAACAAAACTGGATTGGACTGGGCAGTGAAAAAGGACAGGAGTTGGTTGTCAGGGCTCACAAGGGTCTCAGCCCTTCTCCTTGTTTCCTAAGGGTCATTAGTTCCAACAGTTGTCCCCCAGAACTTATTTCCCACTAAGCTTTGTGTGCTCGATATGCTAAAACATCAGCGTTAAAAGGAAGAGTGTGCCAGGCCACTCTGGCGCTGACAGTAAATCACCACCTCTTGAACTTTTTCCATCTGTGGTATGAGGCAGTTGGTCTAACAGCTTTCATTAAGTATCTTGGTGTTTTATTATCTTGACCACAGGGTTGACTCTGGCCTTCCTGCCCTTCCTTCCGGCCAGGGCCTCTTGCCGGCTGCAGCTCTCAGCTGCTGAGATTAATGGCAACCCAAGGCACGATGTACTGGGGCCGTTCTTGACCGAGGGCTGGAGAGCAGGTAGCCCGTCGCCCTGGCCGCTAGAAAGACCTTGCCGTGTCTTCCTTCTGCTCCATCTTGCTCTTACTGATCAAGCTGTACCGATGACTAAGTGGAGATCTGAGGGTGGTGTGGTCTTACCATCTAAGATTTTCGCTTGGAATGGCTTGCACATAATAAGCAGAGTGAATTGATCTCCATAAGGGGCACCTGCCCCCCGCTGCTCACGTGGCCACTGCTTTTTTTTTTTTTTAAAGATTTTATTTATTTATTTGACAGAGAGAGACAGTGAGAGCAGGAACACAAGCAGGGGGAGTGGGAGAGGGAGAAGCAGGCTTCCCGCTGAGCAGGGAGCCTGATGCGGGACTCGATCCCAGGACCCTAGGATCATGACCCGAGCCGAAGGCAGATGCCTAACGACCGAGCGACCCAGGCGCCCGTGGCCACTGCTCTTAACAGGGTTATGAATGCAGCACAACTGGTAAACTCGGCCAGCAGCGTGGACGAGTCGCTCCAGAAGTTTCTGGGATGAGAACTAGAGAAACAATGGTTCTTTTAAATAGGATGCTTTCCATTCAACAAAACCAACTTCACAAAATCTTAATATCCAGTTTAAGTGCAAATTTCCTGTTTAAACACTTCTATAATGAGGACACCAGGTTAACAAGAATTCTAAAGTTCACTTGACAGGTTTCTTATCTCCACTAAGGCATCTAATATCTCTGGGTGCAGACTCTGCCAGTGCTCCCTGAATAGACCCCCGATTACCCAGGCCAATGTTAGGACACCCTTCACTTGTGGCATCCAGAACAAGGCAATGGACTGAGCACAGAGTGGTATCATACCTCCCCAGATCTGATGGAGAAACAGATTCAAAAATAATACTGAAAAGAAAGGGTACCATAAGCCGATCAGAAAATTTTCATAATTTCTGCAAAATGGGAAGTAGAAGGGATCAACTAACTATAAAATGAAATAGCAACAGGAAACCATAACCCAAAACATTTGAGACTGTTGGAGATGGGAGCGATTTCAGGGGAACCCCAAGCTCAAACTCAGCCCCTAACATGCTTGGGGGGGGGAGTGAGTGGAGGAGGAGCAGCCGAGGGGCAGCCCTAGCGGGTCCTGGCTGTCACTTGCCCCTGCTAAGCGGCTAGCAGCGGTGGCCTGTGCCCAGAGTCGGGCAGGACAGGTCCATCCTGGGCCCCCGGCTGCAGGCGGCTACGGACTCTCTGGAGGCAGGAAGCTCCCAGACGACATGGACAACCTAACCGAAGTCAGGGCCCGCGGCTGTCAATCCAGGTGTGTCCCCACACACAACATAATGCCAAAGTATCACCTGACCTCTGCTTTTATTTCAGAAACAACTTGTAGTTTAGGAACATTGTGGAGAGGCTATGCATGGTCTGTAAACAATGTTTCTGAAAGCTCTCCTTTCCTTTCATGCTCTGCCGCTCTGCTGGTATCCCAGGACATTTGTCTCAAAAACATCCACAGCTCCAGTCCAGCTCTAGCCTGAGTAGGATTGCTCCATCCTCCTCTGTCAAGAAAGCTCCCCCAGACCTGGCCTAACAATGACAAAACTTGCTGAGGTGGCGGCGGGGGGGTGGGGGGCGCGGAGGTAAATACGTGGAGTGGGAAAAGCCTGAATCCTAGGCAAGAAGAAAGGAGCACTGCTTAATTGTTCCTCTAAGAAACCGCTGTTGCCCCATCACTTCTTGATAAAAACAGGAAGCCGAGGAACACAGAACTGAGGGGAGCAGGGGTTCACCAAATACAAAGGTGAGCAACTATGCCAAAGTGCCAAACATTTGTGGAAAACTAGTGTCATGAAGAAGAGGATCCAAAACTCAAAAAACTGAAGATTTTGGAATATACACGTCTCTAGAAACAATACAGGAGACTGGAAATCTTACTTGCCACTTAGGTCCTGGCCTCTAAATACCATCCTTCCTGAGGGAATCAGAGAGCCTTGGAGAAATGGCTGACTCCATGGCTGGGGCAGGGAAACTACCAGATGCCCTTGGAACATCTTTTAAGTGCCAAAAAGTAAGAAGTGCTCAAGAAAAGATGAGCACGTGGAAAAAGGACTCAAGAGCCAACTTGATGAGCTTCCAGTGGCCAAGTCTGGATCAATTTGAGCATCAGAACAAATAATGACCTAATAGACTCTAACTCATTGCACAGAATAAGAATCCATGAGTTCCTACTGATAATAAAAAAATAAACAGAAGACAGACCTCTCCCTTACAGAATGCCAATTAATAAATGTAGATGTAATAATGCAAGTAGAAAATCACTACTTTGTAAGCACTGATTCACATTAGAATTACCAATGGCTAGAACACAGTCTCAAATTATCTCCATAACATAGTAATTACAAAGGGAAAACCACCACTTTACAGTAAAGAAAGGTTTCACCTTCAACAAGGGATAGTGACATCATTAATAATTGGACACGCGCTATGGCCTCCCAATGGGATGCCCTGAGGACACAAATATGTCCACAGAAACTCTGGCTTTTTACTCTAGAAAATGTATCACAAAAAAACAGAAACCGGAGAACTGTTTCAGATTAAAGAATGAGACATGACAACTAAATGCAATGCAAGATCCTCGACAGACTCTGGACCCGGGAAATGTGCTCTCAACGACTTTATTAGAACTGGGAAAGGTCTGCAGAGTATGGTATTGCCGATAATTGTTATGGTATCAATGTCAACTTTCCTGATTTTGAAAATCGTAAGTAACTGGTTTTGTAATGGAATATCCCTGAAGTACTTAGAGGCACGAGCTCTGTAATCCAAGTAGTTCAGAAGTGGTTATGTGCGTGTGCTCAAACATTCCAACACCGCGCCTTTATAATTCTTATACACACACACAAACAAGGCAGTTGTGGCAAAATGTAATAGTTGATGAATCTGGGTGAAGTGTAAATGGCATTCTTTGTACTTTTCACAACTTTTTTGGAATTTTGAAATTATTTCCAAATAAAAAAATTTGGTTGAAATAAACTTAGTAAATGGGCTGAAAAGCAGACGGTAAGACAGATCAGATAACAGACATGTTAAGAAATATGGAAGAAACACCCAGGGGACCTACTATTCGTCTCATAGGAGTTCTAGAAAGAGTAAAGTAAAAGAACGGAAGGGAGGAAATAAATAGTGGAAATTCCCAGGTCCAAGGAAAGGTTAAAAGTACCCAATCAGTACTAACACAAAGAATACATCTAGACATGGCAAGCTTAAACTTCAAAACATCAAAAAGAAAAAGAAAATCCCGTTTTGTTTTTAAGATTTGAGAGAGAGAGAGCGCACCCTCGCAGGAGTGTGCACAAGCGGGGAGGGCGGAGGGGCAGAGGGAGAGAGTCTGAAGCAGACCGCCGAGCACTGAGTCCGACGTGAGTCTTGATCTCACAACCTGAGCTGAAACCAAGAGTC